AGGAGATTTAACTCTCCAGTAGTAGCTCTTTAAAAAGGTATTAAAAAAATATCATCAGAGTAATGAAATGAGTTTTAAAACTTGCCTGACTTTCCACACCACCACCCTGCCTCTGACTTAGTCTTTTCTATAGACAATAAATCAATTTGAAGGCCGTGGAGCAAATCCACCTTTGGCATAAGTTGACACAGCCACATTGTTGGTCCTACTTTACACAGCACAGACTATTGCCAAGCACACTTGTAATAAAACCTATCTGGAAACCTGACTCTGCCATTGTAGTCTTGTTCTGCCGGATAGGATTTTTTTTGTCCAGCTTCCTTGAACAACAGAACACTTCTTTCCAGTTTGGAATTTGCTAGTTTAAATCCCACTTAAACTAACAAAAAACGGTTTTCAAAGAGAGCCTTTTCAGGAGGGGATAGGATTCATTCATGTACTGGACTTTCCACAAGACCAAGTGTTCAAATGGACTGTTATTTAAAGAAGCTGCTGCTATTATTGAAGAGGTGTTCAGGCAGGAGAATTTTGGAAAGGATTCACAATGTATAAATTGCAGCACTTCCTTGTCATCAAGTTGTTTTGTCTGTGTGCCAGTCCATCACTGCCATGATTGCATGTTTCTGCAAGGTACTGAACTAGAATTAAATGCTTATAGCTATTAAATGAAACAACAGGTCTCTGTAAATTTTTTTAACTGCAATTGAATCAGCTGTTGTTTAATAAAATGAATCTGACAATGGTGTAAAAAAGCTTTAGGAAACTTAAAAAATGCACTCCTTAAGGAGTGTTTCACAAAATTATTGTCAATGGCAGTTAGTCGAAATTATATATTTTCATTTGAACCAGAATGTTCATTCCTTAGAGGCTGCACTGAAAATAAATTTTGGATAATATTCCAACCCCAAATCCTTTATATTTATCATGTACATAGTATTCATTTTTCTTGTCTTTCTTTCGGATCTTACTGTAAAAGGAGATGGGTTGAGTGGCATGAAGGACATCACTGTTCAAAAAGTAAATAGGTTTTAATTACCTTTGAGAGAGAGTCTTTCCTTGTACAAAATATTATTTATCTTAAAGGAAGCTAGTTGGAAGAATACAGACTTACTACAGTCGTTAAACTATTCTAGTTGAGAAAGAAGACCGTAGAAAATGGTTTAAACAGCTGATCAAAAACTTCAAAAACTTTTCAAAAGCTTTTCCAGCTTCAAAATTGGAGAAGTCAGGTGAGCCCAGTGCCTATGAAATGCAAGAAGAATTCTCCCCTTCTTGATTACAAATTGCTGTAAATCCTCTAGGAGACCTCTGAAGTTCATGCAATCTCTACATTATTTTCTTGTGCACATGTTGGGAGTCATCTGTCTAACACCATGCTCTAGAAGATGTTTCTTTTGTACAGACTCTGTGCCATCTCTTAAAATTGCCTGAACACTTAAGTAGAAAAGCATACTAGCATACTGTCTTTTGAAAACTGTACCAGGGTAGGAGCTGCAAGAAAGGTGCCTGAGGATTGTCACCTCTTCAGGAATGGAGTTCATTGGTGTTCCAGTGACCTGATGTGATCCCTGACAGAAAATTTATTTTCATTTACTTTTGTCATGATATTTAATTTATGATGATCCAAGTGGTCCAAATCATCACAATAATGTCTACGTTTCAGAGCATGGACAAAATGAGGAAGACCACCATGATCTCCACCTGTGTTTTATCTGTAGCCAACAGATAGCTGAAGTCTGGTTCTTATTCCAAAATTTCTTGTAAAGTTTATTTCCATGGGAGATTTCAAAGCTTTTGCCTCTCCAAAACTTTTCTGAAGTTCTTTTCAAGGTCAAGTCTTGATTATTTCTTTTTGTCCCCCCCTCCATTACAGAATTGATATGAATATAATTAAATTAAGATGTCGATACTAAGTTTCTTGAAAAATTGCTTTCTACTTTAGACTAACACTTAGAAATGTTAATGAAACATCTGGACATGGTTTGGTGAAGCCATCCTCTGCCAGGATACTAAATTGACCTAATTAACTTTCTGTTAGTTTCAGTATGAGCCAACTGTTACCATATGGTGAGAGGAAATGCTCTTATCTCCATA